AGAGTGAGTATGACATTGTCCGTGGATTTGAATGTATGAATAGCACATATGACAAGGTGAAGGAAGATGATTAAAGTGTGGTGTTGTGTTCTGACTCACTACAGATTCAAGTTGAGAAGGAACACGTCTTTTTCGAGATACATGGTCAAGGTGTTGAGGATGAACCCAAAGACATATTAGAAATCAACAAATACACAGGGGATATTACTGTCACTGGCCCTGTGGACTATGAGCAGTTCAAAGTTTTAAAGGTTAGTAGGAATTGACTATCTCCCAGGAACCACATAAAGACATCTGAGTGACTGAGTGCGTCAGTCAGTTTAGGGTTTTTTTTTATTTCACACTTTTGCCTTTGCATTACAGCTGTCTTTTCAGGCATATGACAGAGACAGCCACACATTAGACACAGCACTGGGCGTTGAGGTACGGATCACTGACGTTAACGACAACCCTCCAAAGTTTGACAATGAAAAGTATGAAATCAGCATCAAAGAATCGACACCACAAGGTAACTTTATTGTGAACAATTCCCTAAGGTGATCACACTGCTACTAAGATGGCATGCTCATTTACCTGATTTAAAATTATTACAGTGATCCAGATAAATTAAAGTTCCCTTCTTCTGATACTACCAGGCACTGCGGTGATTACCCTTAAGGCATCAGATGCTGACATCAGTGAGAAATATAATACATTTGATTTACGAATAGTCTCAGTCACTCCTAAACCACAGGACCTGCAATTTTACCTAAGCCAAGTCTCCGACAGTCAAACTGGAACCATTTCATTTAAAGGGTGTTTGGACTATGAGGTGAGAGGACTCATTGCTTGATGGCATAATTCTCAAATCAAAAAATATCAAAGATGTCAATCTTGGAACTTCTATATCCTTAAATTAGAAATCAGAAAGATACACCATTATAGTGGAGGCCAAAGACCGTGGAGAAGAAGTACAGCTCTCCAGCTCTGGCACTGTCATAATCCACATAGAAGATGGAAATAACCACGTTCCAGAGATCACAGGACTAACAGTGGGCAATTATTTCATTCAGTTACCTCTATTAAGGCAATGGGATGTTGCCTATAATACAACATTCTCTTTTAATATTTTTACCCCAGGGCCCAAGGAGAGTGAAAGAAGGACAGCAAGGTGTTCTTGTTTCACGTCTGCAAGTTGCAGACAAAGACACCAAGGGTACACCGGCCTGGAGAGCAAAATATCAAATTCATGGAGATACAAACAACAACTTCAGAATCACTACTGATACCGAGACAAATGAGGGACTACTGTATTTGGAAAAGGTATTTTGTCTGTAATCGTACAGACATCAAAGGGTGATCTTTTTCTTACAGTTAAATAGCTGTTGGTGATAATATATGAAATTCTGATGCCACTGATTTAAAAAAAAGTTTTAAAACAATGTCATACCTTCAAAAACTATTAGATAAAAAGCAATACAATAGGCACTAAGTTTATGATAAACAACTTCCATTCCTGAGTATTGTGTTGCACCCACAGATGCCATTAGCTGATGTTTGTCCTCAGATTATTATGATCATTTACGTTGAACAGGATGTACTTGGACATTAACGAACAAATGCAAAACAGGTTTTGATGCAAATGTATTGTCCTCTGAGATGCTGAACAGTATCAGCAATGCTAATAAATACTAAAATTACTTCTAGGAATTTTAGCAGTGTGAAGTCACACTAGCACAAACTTCAGTGTCTTCAAACCAACATCTTTGCTTCTTTTACAGCCTCTGGACTATGAAAATGAGCCTCTGAAGATTGTGAATATCAGTGTGGAGAATGAAATTCCCCTTTTTTCTTGCAAAGTGGAGACTCGTGGCACCAGCACCACTGGTCTTTGGAAAGTCATTTATGGTGATGCTGGGACGATGCGGGTGATGGGTCCATCCACCCACCAAGTGACAGTGACTGTGGAGGATGTCAATGAGCCTCCAATCTTCGATGAACCTAATAAACATGTCAGTTTGGTTGAGAATGTTGCAGCGGGACACCTTCTGACAACATTTACAGCTAGAGACCCTGACGTCAACAATACATTGGTGTAAGTCATGAATACATTAGTTATATGTCCATCCTCAATTCTACATTAGTATGTCCATAGAGAATTTAAAATACCTAACAGAACATGTGCTGCAGATATAAAAAAGGAGAGGATCCAGCTGGTTGGTTTACAGTGGACTCTGGAAATGGGCAAATAACCACAATAAAGGGCATAGACAGAGAGTCGAGCTTTGTGAACGACAACATCTATGTGGTCACAGTATATGCTGTTGACAGTGGTATGACCTGGAGGACTTTTTACATTTAGTTTTATTTATTCCACTTTCTATATCACATTACTGAAAATGTACAATGCACGTTTTTGGTCACCAGGTGAGCCTCCAATGACGGGCACCGCAACCCTCAGCGTTCATATTACAGATGAGAATGACAATGTTCCAATACTGACTGCAAGCACAATTGACATGTGCCAATCTCAGGGACCCTCTCGGGCCAACATCACAGCTGTGGACCTGGATCAGCAGCCCTACAGTGGACCTTTCAGCTTCAAGCTCCATGGAGATGTTAAGGGCCAGTGGAAGGTTGACCCTGTGCAAGGTGAGCTCTAACAGCTTCTCTGAGATTGAAATGTAGCCAAAATCCTATTATGCAAATACTGTCACTGCTATCAAATTAACATATGTGTACAGTAATTTATAAAGCATGTCGCAGTGAATTTTTATAATGGGACAACTCATTCTGGATCTACAGGATATTCGGTCAATTTAGTGAAAGAGAACACAGTTCATTCTGGACATTATGAGCTGCTGCTGGAAGTGTCTGATCTCCAGGGAAAGGCTGCTGTCCACAACTTGTCAGTTACTGTGTGCAACTGCTTAGACACAGCAAAGCCAAATTGTCGCTTCCGTAAATCTACTGCCTCTGCATCAGGAGGAGGAGTGCTTGGGATAATTTTATTTTGCATACTACTGCTTGCAGGTAGGACACATGCCTGAAATACAGTGATTATTGCAATTATTATTTCTGTGTTAAAAAAAAAACTCATTTTCCAGGTTTAACATTGTCTTTTAAATTAAACTGACAAACAGTCAGGTTCATAAATATTTGGACAAGGATACATTTGTTGTAATTGTACCTATGTACAACACAGCAATGGATTTGAAATTAAGCAGTGAATGCATATTAGAATTGTAGACTTTCAGCTTTAATTCAAGGGGTTTCACAAAAATATCACAAGGGTTTAGGAATTACAGCCACAATGCACTACACTCCACAATTTTAATGCAGCAGCAGCAGCAATATTTTGATCTCAGAAAGATCTTAGGTTGTTGTTCTAACACCTGCTGAAGTATTTTGGACGTGCGTGCTCTATGTTTTGTTTTGTTTAATATGCCACACCTGGTCATACAATTGCTTGTCACTCAATGGTCCAATTACTTTTGAACCTCTGAAAATGGAGGACTATGTATAACAATGGCTTTAATTCCTAAACGGTTAATGCAATATTTTTGTGAAACTCCCTGAAACAAAGCTGAAACTCTTCAATAATATATTGACTACTTCATTTCAAATCCACTGAGGTGTGGTACAGAGGCAAAGTTACAAAAACTGTGTGTTTGTCCAAATATGCACCTGACTGTAAAACTGTTTTTTATTATGGCAGTGAGCCCTAACCCTAACCCTTCCTTGGGTAAAAGATTAGTAATGCCAGTCATTTTCTGTAGTTGTAGTATTTTCAGCAATAACTATACAGAGACTAAAACGAACTATGAATTGCCTCTACTCGCATTTAATGTCCCGTCAGTGTGTCAGTCCTGGATTAGCTTGTTGATTTGATTTGATTTGATTTGATTTATTCTTTCAAGCATATACAACTGTTGATATAACAACACACATTTTTACACACAATCCAATATCAATTTGCTTATACCTAGTACATGCTTGAATGGAGTAGGAAGAAGTCAGACTTATCCAGTCCTACCCCATGACATCATCTTACCATCATTGGTTTGCAAGCAGTAAATGATTCACTTCTACACACACACATATTATACTAAAAAAAGAATATAACAGTGTTAACATTCTTACATCACACAAGTGATATACTAAAGAATGGTTACAAAATATACACCACACCCACAATAGTCCATGTAGTTAATCATTGAGCCTGTTCTTGCATATATCTTCCTTTGACCTCATGATTCTCATTTGCTCTGACATGCACTGTGAGCTGTAGGGTCTTATATAGACAGGTGTGTGGCTTTCCTAATCACGTCCAATCAGTATAATCAAACACAGCTGGACTCAAATGAAGGTGTAGAACCATCTCAGGGATGACCCATCTTATGCACAATTCTTATCGCTCTTTTTTGTAATATATACAATGGTTGAAGTGAGCTTTTGTATGTATTTCCCCAGTTTCCAACGCCATACTCTAAGTATGGTAGAATCAATGAGGAATACAAAATTGTTTGTTGTTGCAACAGACCTTTATCATTTTCAAACAGAGATCTATCACAGGCAATTCATTGTCAGTTTTAGTCTGTGTATGGGGACTGTTGAAAATACTGTTAATATAGAAAGTGACCTGGCTTTTCCTTTACTACTGTTGATTTGACTGTGTGTGTGTGTGTGTGTGTGTGTGTGTGTGTGATCTTCTAGGTATGCTACTTCTGGCTTTTCTGATGAAATGTAAGAAAAAGCATGCAGAAATACCAGATCATGGTTTAGGACAACAACTGATGAAAAGTAACACTGAGAAGTTGGGAAATGACTGTGAAGTAATCTTTGTGCCCACAGACACACACACACACAGTCTAAAGATAAATGTGCTAGCACTTATTAAAATAACTTTGTATTAAAATCTTCTACAGGTGGAGTTTGACTCATACAGTCAGAATGGGGGACAAATCAAAACAGTATCTCAAGTGACAAGGAAGCCAGTAAGTGGTGTAAAACATAGATTAACTCAGTTCTTAATCATAAAGCATGACAAATATGGATTATTTAATTTTTTTGTAACTTCTTTTTTGTATTTTATTTTACTTACTTTCTTTATTTTTTTGCAGTCATTCAATAAACCACCAGTGTTCATTGAACATGCCAGCTCAGGGTACGGCGTGCCCAGAGCTGAAATCCTAACTCAAAGGAACCCTTTTCACTGGGTACAGAAACTATTACTATTATTACTGTTATTCCAATGTTGGAGAGACTATGTTTCCCGGCTGGCCTGGGAACGCCTTGGGGTTCCTCCTGAGGAGCTAGAGGAGGTGTGTGGGGAGAGGGAAGTCTGGGAGGCTCTGCTCAGACTACTGCCCCCGCGACCCAGTCTCAGATGAAGATGGATGGATGGATTACTGTTATTGTGTCAAAAGTGGCAATATACAGCACTGTTTGTCTGTTTATAAGAACAGTCATCTAGAAAAATCAGATGACAGCCAGCCTTATTCTTTAGCAATTTTCTCATGATGTAAAGACAGAGATTAATTGGCATGTTTTCTAAAGTGAAGTGTTGCCTTGGCTTGATATGCTTTTTTTCCCCAGGGGATAAATGACTCTGTAAGTGAAGCATCACAAACACGCACTGAATGCTACCTGTCCCAAGGAAAAAGCTCAGGGGAACAACCCTTCTTGGGCAGAAACTCCGCACGTTGGGTACTGAAATTATTATTTTTATTGTCAATAATCACTGATTAATACTGTCAAGAGGCAGATGTTAGTTATTTTACTGAGCAATGAAATTTTGCTGTTAATAACATTCTGGCATATTTCAAAAGCTGCCATAAAATTAACTGTTGACATGCTTGATCTTCCAGTCAATAGCTGCATCATCACCCACAAGAATGAGATATGAGCACAGAAACTCTCTGCGTGGGGTACTGCAATTTACCCTGTGATCTCTTTTTATTTAGTAGAATTTTCCAATATTTTATTTATTAACTGCGACATTTTTAAGTTGGACTTTTCATGTACCTTAAAACCACTGAATACATGCAACTTTGTGCTTCTGATTTCCCAGAGACAGCTGGGACACAGTAAATACTCTGCAGATCAAGAGAATGTAATCCAACAAGAATTGCTGGTCAAAGTGCTAAATAAGGTAATGTCAACAACTCGATCAATCCAACAATTAGTGTCACTCATTTTCTCTTCAAAATGTATTCTCCTTTCCTTTTGCCTCCTCTGTACCCTGTAGATGCTATGCACTCTCCAGGCACCGGGAGAGGAGCTGGGTGACTATGCTCCACATGCGTATGCTGAGGAGGGAGACATAGAGAACAGCTCTGAGCTTGATGCCATCTCCATCCCTGATGTTTCCTTCGACCCAGACAAGGACCTGAACCTGGATTTGAATTTCAGTAATCTGGCCTCTGTCTGCATACCTGATGAAAGGACCTAATACAGCGTCACAAAAAAACATCCGCCAGTGACTCTGATCCAAGTACAAAGTCATAAACCTCAATCACATTTGTAAATTACATTATAAAACCAATCCCAGCTGACATTGGCCTTAATAAAATTTAAGTCACTACAGTTCGTGAGGAGCTGTCAGTTTTCAAATTGACAAATTCTTTAGGAGGCAAACTGTCAAAAGCCAGGTGTGTTACTGTGTAAATAAAGCACTTCCAAAGAAGGGTGATTACACATGCAGCTGATACATCAGAATTTCAAAGTCCAGTCAGTCACCACCTTCTTACCAAACTGGATTTGTGTGAGGGCGTGTTTGTGAAAGCGTATATCCATCCATCCATGATCAGAAAAATGAAAACCTATGACATGTAGGTTCAGATATACTGTATTTGGATTGTTTAGCATTTGAATTTATACTAAAGTCTTGTGTCACATAATATGTTCTTTTCACTACAGGCAGAGTACCTAGCTTCTCTTTGGAACATTTAACAAAATGTATGTTACTAAGTTTTTGGCTTCACTTTTTTTTATGATACGTCTTAAGATTCAGCGTGAGTTGTTCATTCACTGTTTTATTCGTTGCTATACTTATAGTAGATAACAGAGTATAAGTCACTACAGTTCATGAGGAGTTCTTTAGGAATTCTTTAGGAATGCAAACTGTTTTCTACATGACTGTCACAAACAAGGTGTGTTACTGTGTAAATAAAGCACTTCCAAAGAAGGGTGATTACACATGCAGCTGATGCATCACAATTTCAGATTAAGTCCAGTCAGTCACCACCATCTTACCAAACTGGATTTGTGTGAGGGCATGTTTGTGAAAGCGTATATCCATCCATCCATCCATTAATGATACTGCTTATCCTGAACAGAGTTGCAGAGGGGCTGGAACCAATCCCAGCAGACATTGGCCTTAATAAAATTTAAAATAAAGAAAAAAGAAAAGACAAAGTAACTAAAGCAACAGAGAAGTATATGCTCTCTGACCTGGAGTCTCTCTGTCCAGAGAACAGTTGACCTCTCCACAACAGGCAGGTCACATCCCAGAGGAATTATCACATCAGTCTGCAAACAAAAAGCATTCTGCTCTCAACAACTGCCCAGTTTGAAACATTTTCATGACATAAGGGGCATATTAAATGTAAATTAACCAAAGTTTGCTTTAACACTGACTTGAATGACTATGTTATAATGCGACAGTAGTCACTTGGTTGTTAACAGAGAATTATGCACTTTGATGAGTTTTTGGACCACTTTTTTTTTTTTTTTAACAAATTTGAGATTAAAAATGTTCCACAGCAGTTGTTTGCAGCAAATAGGCCATCATAACCCACAGTAGGCCTACATTATCACCACACCAAACAGACAATGTTAGCAACTGAGGCTACCTGTAGCAAGTTGGCCACAGACTGGGGAGGGAAACTGGGTTAAAAGGTCAGTGACTTCTCCTGGCCAGAGAAACGGGCTAAATTGGGCTGGTATTGTAACTTTGTGTCTGCTATGTACATTATAACCACCACTTAGTAAAACCTAACACTTGATTGATTTTGATTGATTGATTGATTTTATTCTTTCAAACATGCAGAACAGAACAAATGAACAAATGGCAACAACACACATAATTGCACATATCCAACCAATGCTAATCCAAAATCAGTTTGCTTACACATATTACATGTTTGAATGGAGTAGGAAGAAGTCAGACTTATCCAGTCCTACCCCATGACATCATATTATACAAAAATTAATGCTTCATTGGCTGCAAGCAGTATCTCTACATTAATAAACAGAGTATTTCCTAAATGCCTTCTCGAATAATCTTGTTCTTGCATATATCTTGTATAACACATACATTTATATTTATGTTTAAACTCCTCAATTCTAGTACTATTTTTCATGTCCACAGTTAAATTATTCCATAATTTGACCCCACTTATAGAAATACA